TCCAACTTTCCTCCCCTTATCTCTTTCTTTAGAAAAGTCTTTATTAACTGCTTTCCCTCATCACAGACTATATAGTACCGAATTCTCACTATATTGTAAATTCTTATAATGCCCTTAGCACTAGTAATTATAGTAATTGTATAGACTCTGACCTCCAGGAGAGCCAGAATCAAGTTCTCTTCATCTCCCATTTAAGCATTCGAGACATTTTTACTACCATTAAGTATGTACTATGTTAAAGGTACAAGATTAGATCCTTGGCTAGAGTTAAAAGTGATACCAACTTGATAAATGCTATCAAGGAAAGTGAATGTTATGATGGAGTAGTCAATAATGGAGCCAGAGGACTAAGGCTTGAAGAATGAGTAAGTTAGTACACAGTAAAATACAGCATCGCAAGCAGAAGGAACAGCTAGTCAGAGGGCCTTGAGATGTGAGAGCCTGGTTGGTCCAAGGAACTCAAAAGTAACCCTTGTGGCTAGAAGACAATGAGCAAAAGGAAAGCAACAAGATGTACTTAGAAAGATAAGCAGGCATCATAGTAAGACAAACCTCTTTTTTTAAATTCAAAGGGCAGTGTGAAAAAAAAGAATGTCCCTTCTCCACCCACTCACCCCCCAGACTCACTAAAATTACTTAAAAATTTTTAACCTGTTTGGTGGGGAATATTCTGCAAGAAAGCTCATATTATTATTATTAGGGTCTAGGGAAGAAATGAAGGTGATCTGGATGAGAAGTGGAAGGGTTCCTTTTTGCTTGAGGTAAAAATGACTATAATTGTGACCATAGGGAAAGGGTATGTATTGGTTACCATAACAGTAACCAAGCTTGAGAAACCTAGGTAGTCATTTCACTTATCCAGATAAGGAATACTGGGAGAGGAATAGATTGAAGAGGAGGTGGGGAAAGAAACAATGATTTGGAGGTAACAGGTTTAACTATGAGGTAGACAGTTGAAAACACAAGCCTGGAACTATGAAGTTTGTCTTAGAGGTATAAATGTGGGTGTGACAGGTACATTCATACTGAACTCGAGAATGGACTAAAGAGAGTGGACACACATACACAGCCAAGTTTAGACATTGAGAGGAATTAGGGTTGGAGTCAGTGATGCCAGAAAAGGTAAGGAGAAAACCAAGAATGAGTATTTCCAAGAGTACATCATCAACACTGCTGAGACAGTGGATGAGAGCAGAAAAGAACAGGGCAGCATAAAGAATGCTGATCCCGATGAGAGCAATTTCAGAGCAGTTGTGGAGATACATAAAGTGGTAGTAAATGGGAAAGGTCTGAACAGACAACTCAGATTAGATATGATGGGAACCAAATAAAATGGGTTATAGTTAGATGAAATCAAGTGACCACCTTCCCAACCCTTTCTTATAAGAATAGTAGCTATGAGGGTACAAGTGTAACTTGTTGAAAATGATCTAGTAAGATAAAGTCTGATGAAAACAGAGTACTTAACTGAAAGTTTTTGGCTGAGGAAGGATGGATTTTTGGTAAGAGCGCAGATACAAATTGGGTTTACAAATTTGGTGGTGCAAAGTGGAGACAGTTCCTATCAATTTTCTTGTATATATATATATATATTTTTTTTTTTTGCCAAAATATGATTAAAAGGTCACAGATGAGGGGAAAAGGAAAATTGGGGGAGGGGAGCGTATAAATAAGTTTGTGGAAGCAAATTATTACAATAAAATTACATAAAAATCGCCAGTTTTGAGCCTTTGAGATTATAAACTTGCTGTTGTAGTAATTTCTCCCCATTCAACCGCTCAATAGTAGACAGGTTTTTCAAATTGTTCCAAACCATGACCCAGAGAGGGGCATGGTCTGAGGATATGTGCAAAGGAATTCATGTAACAACGGGATCTAGTCTGTAAGCAGCTGAGGACAAGTTGAGCTGATGAATAGTGAGCAGGTGGTAGGACTAAATGATTAATTGTAATGAGGTAGAAGTATTTTTTAGTGGAGATATCTCGAGCAGGTGAGCTAGAAGTTTGTGACTGGACAAAGAGAATCTGAATTTCATTAAGGAAGTCATACATGTTTTGATTACGTCAAGGTATAGGGCTCCCTCTTATGGGGAGATCACTGAAATGAAGCACCTCTAATAAGCAAAATCACTGAGAAATAAAGCAGATACTATCATTTTGTTTATTAAGAGGTAGTGTTGGGAGGCACAGATAATAATATAAAAATTAAAAACAGTAGGAACCCTGGGTGGCTCAGTCAGTTAAGGGTCTGACTCTTGATCTCAGTTCAGGTCTTGATCTCAGTGTCATGAGTTCAAGCCCTGCACTGGGCTCCAAGCTGAGTGGAGCATACTTAAAATTAAAAAAAAAAAAAAGTTAATAAAAAGTTATAAAAAGACATGTGAAATCTATCAATCAATTGGAATGGATAAATTGGCCAATTAGAAAAAAAATTACCATCTGTAAACAGCTGATACAGCTGTTCTGGTGTACACAACGGCTGATTATCAGCCCCAGTTTAATAAAATGCCATTTTAGAGGAGTGTTTCCTAACATGTGTTCCTTAGAACACTAAGTCAGTAGGATAGATATAAGTATTAGTATTTAAAATGAAAAATATTTTCATTGCCAGTATGAAAAACTCCCACTTTAACAGTTAACATTTTCTGTACAGAGCTTTGTCTTTAATATACTAATGTTCACTGGATTAAGAGAGAGCTATAACATGCAGTTTAGAAAACTTTGATCACAGACCTCACCTTCCAACTTGTGGATATCTCACTACAATAAACATTTTGAAAACAGTTGTCTTACTGCTCTACTCTTTCTCAAATGTTACCATTCTTTCTTCTGGACCCCACCACTTTTTTTTTTTTTTTTTGGCCTCAAGTCTCTCTGCTTTTAGTCTCTAACTTTTCCCATCTACCCTATATACAAACTGTTCAACTGACCAAACTGTTCAACTTAAACACACTCAGTAACCACCCAATAAATCAAAACTGAAAACTATATGGCATACAAGAACTTTCATGATCTGGCCCGTTTGCCTCTTCAGCTTCTCTAACCCTGTATTTTTCCACATAAACCCCTTGTAATGCTGCAAATGCAATATGTTGCTTCTCATATCTCCATATGTAGAATTCCCATTTCCCCTATGACCATCCAAAGACTATTCATTCATTCCTCTCTCAAGACTCATCTTTTCTACACTTTCATAAATACCCTCCCCCAAAATAGAGCATTCCCTCTTTGATATCTCTAGCTGTAGTATTTATGTAGTCTTAACAGCTATAGCAAACTGTGTTTGCTTACCTGATGATCAAAAAATTGCCTTGCTAAAACTCAATCGCTGTCTAGCCCTTTCAAATAATTTAGCTATGCTGAATTTAACACTGCTTGAAAATTTCCCAATGGTTACCATTTCACTTAACACGATGTATTTTGAATATGTTCTGTTCTGTAAGATTCAAATTCTTTGGATTTAAAACAGGGAAAAAATCCATTTTTCAATGATAAAAGCTTAGGTAAACTGAATCTACAGGAATAAAATATCCCAATAGACTAAGGAAAAGCATACCATGATAAATATATGCTTTGTGATTCCTTTTTCATACTTAAGCATTACATTCCATATCAAATTTTACCAACATGCTGTTCTATAAATTCATATTTTATACCATAATTTGAGTTTTCTGTTCCATGCTAAAAAGCCCACTCTTCCATAATTACTTTTAGCATATAGTACCTGGAATATAAAAAAAAAAAAAATTAACTCAAATGTTGGCAAACTTTCTCCTGATTATGTAGAAGAACAATTACAGAAATGTCTAGGGGCCAATTTTCTTAAGCTAATGAGCAAAAGAAAAGCCCCAATCCACTGGTATTTTCACCTAACTGTGGCTCATCACTACATTTATCAGAAATAAATCTACTTGCTACTGCACTATTTAGGGCAGTTTGCCAAAGGCCTATCTTTAAGAGCTAGGTCAACTTCCAAGAAAACTCTACGGAAACATTCAGTTGTTAACAAAAATTTAATTTTAAAATTATTCAGAGTTAAGTTATTGTTAATTTAGAAAAAAAACATGTATTAATCACCCATAAGAACAACTTTTATTTTAATAAATAACAGTGGGCTTGCCAAAGGGAAGGGATTTTAATGTGTCAAGTTTTATGCATATTGGTAATAAACCTTAAGGAGGTGAAACCAACTATTCAATATAACCCATTAGGCCCTAAAAATAAAACTACAATACTTCAATAAAACTTAAAAAAATATTTTCCAAAAGAAAATAATTCACTCCTTGACCATGCTTATTTATTCAGAGTACCAGCAATTTCAGTTAAGTGCTTCATTTGTCCTGCAAATCTGATGTTGCACAGGGAATATACACATTTTCATATTATCACAACATCGGCAATATCTCAGGCTAATAATATTGTGAATGCAACTGGCTTATAACAAACACAAAGTCAAAAATCAATGCTACTATATATGGCAAACAGAAACAAAAGTAAATCTGAGAAGATGTTTTCTTTTGTTTCTAGTACTGATGTTAGTTGGACTTCAAACGAAGGTCCTAAACGCTCCTGAAATAACCTCTATCTCGGGCCATGAATCCACAGTATAAATATGGTGAATAGAACTAACCTATAGGAGCTAACTATATGCTGAATAACCAAAATAATCAATTATGACAACTAATACTGCTCTGGAAGACCAATCTAATGAAAAAAGTATCATTAGATATGGTGGGAAAATACAAATCTGTACAATCTAACATCTATAAACAGTAAAATCAAAACATCCAACTTCCTTATAGAAAGTGTTTCATCTATGTAATTATAAATGTTAAGAACTCTTGCATTTTATAAACACAAGATGGGCTCACTTTGATGATACCAATTTTAAGATTTATAAAAATGTTTAAAAAAATCTTTCCACAAAAGTTTATACAGTTTAAAGCTATACACCAATCTATAAATCTCAGAAAATGGAAAAAAAAACTTTATAAGATCACATGTATAAAACAAGAAATGAAATGTGATTTTATTTAAGGCAATACTGGGCTACTTCACAAATCACCACCTCAAATATTTACACTGCTCCACACTACTAGTTTCTATCACATTCACAAAGAATTTTTTTTAATACCAAATGTTTAAAATCTTTGACGTAGTAAATTCTTTATTCACATTTCCATTATATTTCATGGAATCATAATAACTATATCCAATTAGAAGCATTGAAAAAAAACTGTAGCTATAGGAAACTGCTAAAGAACCTGCTATAATTTCACATGAATACCATCCCCAAAATCCTAGAGGATAAATTTACAAAGCAGAGCAAGGTGTTGATATAATGTGCCTACTTTGTGAAAAGTAATTTTGAGATCATCTTGTAAATAAATGTTTTATGTAAAAATCAATGAACTATGGCAGAGTTTCTACTTTTAGCTCAAAAATTTCTTAATTTAAAATGAACAGTTTTAAAAACTTGATCACTTAGTTAAAAATTAAAATTCCAAATATAAATGTGTCATTTAATAGTTTAGACTTACACACTGCTGGTGGCAGCAAATGATTTACAATAATAAATATATACAAAAAAGATATCTACAAACAAAGAGTACTGTTCTACATGAGCAGTGACCTGGTGAAACATATCAATCACACAGATAATTCAGTTTAGTTCATGGAAAGGGCAACTGACTGATAGAAATCTGAGGTGTAGCTCAACTATTTACAATAACTGAAGTATTGATTCTGTTCCTCAAGTCCCATAGGGATAAAAAAAAAAAAGTTTTACATGACAAATGTCATGTTTTTTTTTTTTTCCATTTTTCCTTTTTTTGGCCAGGTTAATTCATGTCAACAACAAAAATTAATGAAAAAGTTTCACAATTCTAACATGCATGATGGCTTCCTATTTGAAATAAAACCATAAATGATGTATTTATAGTACATTAGTTATCAGTACTGCCCTCTCCCTGTTGCTTTACCCAAACTAATTTCTTTCATAACAGACACATCTGGATCATTTGAATGTACTTCAAGTTTTTTCAGACTGACGGTAGGTTTCATTTCCTGAAGCTGTTTTAACACAAGTTCAGTGCAATCTTTAAGAGTCTTGTCTAAAACAATTTTTACATTATCACTGCACTGAAGCTGTGATGGATTGGCAAACTGTACAAAGGTTTCACTTTCTTTACAAGAACATACATGATTTCCACTAGTCACAGCAGTCTTGTCAATATTTTTTCTTGAATTTGAATGGGATCCTTTCTTATTTCCACTATTTGGATGGTCTTTGTCAGAATTTTTCTTCTGCTTCACTGCAGACTCTTCAAGAAACTTCAGAAATGATACTTCAAATCCCATTGGTTTAAACGAGCTCCAGTCAAAAGATGCAGGATGCTCCTCCGTAGTTTGAATTGCAACAGCAGTTTCTTCTTCTTTGTGAGTGCTACTTAACTCAACTGCTGATGTTGGTTCAGCTTTTTCAACTTTCCTCTTTTTATTTTGGGAGACATTTTTTTCCTTATTAACTCTCTTCAAATTACTTGTTTTTTGTTTTTCTGACTGGCAGGGGTTATTTTCCTGAAAATTATTACTTACATTTGAAGAGGTTTGAGCTTGGGTCTCCACACTTGCATTGTCTTCATTTATTAATTTTGTAATAAATAATTCTGTCAGCTCATCCATTTCGTCTTTTTCATTTTTTTCAATTTCCCTCTGTGGAACTGTAGCTGTTCTGGAGTTGTCACTGCTCTCTGATACACATGCGTCAGAATTTTTCACATCACTCTTATCAACCTCTTGATCAGAAGTTTCCTTTAATTGTGAGTTGCAACACCGCTTGAAGACAATGAGAAGATTACGGTGTTGTGACGTAAATGCCTTCGATAACTTATGGCATTTATAATGTCTAATTATATTGCTTTCACTTGTAACAACTGATGTACACCCCTTTATCATACATGGATACTGGGTTACAAATCTGCTTGTACACTCAGACAAGGCATCGTTCCTAGCCTTTATAGAATATACATGCTTTCCACGTTTCAGAGAATAAGGTTTATTTTCTTCAATCTGCACAATTTTCGCAGTCTTGTTTTCTAAATTATTTTTTTTCTTTCGTTTTGTCTTAGGCATTTTGATTCCTTCCTTTCCAGATTTGTGTTTTGTCCCCCGATGTTTAGACTTTGTCTTTTCTTGGTTTGCCTTGCTTGATATATTTTCCTGACCAGGTGTTAATCTTCTTGGTCGAATCAAATGAGCTTTATGTTTGTCATTATGCTTATTAAAAATGTGTCGGAGGAGATTTGACCGAGTTGCATATATACGGTCACAGCCTTCACAGTCACACTTGTATATACCATCTTCTTCAGTTTTATTTCCCCTTATCCCAATTCCATGATCTGCCTCAAGATGAACAACATAGTTCAAATATGTAGTAAACGAAGATTTACACTCTAACTGGTCACATGGAAACTTCCCAACATCCACAGAAGCAGTCATACTTTCAATTTCCTCAGGAGTCATTTCATGAAGTTTCATGTAGTGCTGGATGAGGCCAGTAATTGCTTGAAAGATTCGAGAACAGTCACTCACCTGACATCGAAATTCTTTCACAGTTTGTTTAGTTTCAATCTCTTCACTTTCTTTACCAGCTTCACTTTCCTCTTCAATTTCTGCAGAAAATGCAGGTAGATCTGATTTGTGTACAGCCTGGTAATGCAGAATTAAGTTCTGCTGTATAGTGAAAGCAGCAAAGCAACCTTGGTGAACACATCGATAAGGTCTGTAGGGACTGTATCTTGTTGGAAACTCAAGGGAGTGGGAAACTGGCTTCTTGCGTTTTTTCTCCTCCTTTTCTTTTTTATGTCTCCTAATTTTCCGCCCTTTGGTTTGTATGTTTGTGAGAGAATTTATATTACATTGTTCTGAAGTATCTGTAATCACTTGCAAAGAACTTTCTGTTTTTTCAGGACTTTTTTTTTCTACAAGTTGTTTTTCTGGGTTAACTGCTGTATTACTGAGGACATTTTCCTTCATTGCTCCCAATTCTAAAGCAGGCTGGAACTCCCTTTTATTTTCCTCTGTCATAGTTAGCTGTCTTTTTTGTTGTGAAATTCGTGGGGCTGACAAATTTTCACTCTGAGATTTTCTTCCATAAGGCCTTTTTATTTTTAACTTCACCATTTCTTCTGTTGTAAAATGATGGACCAATTGACAGTGTGCTCGGAGATTAGAATTTCTTGTAAATGTTTTTGTACAGGTAGGTACTACACATTTAAATGGAGCAAATTTCAACTGATTCTTCTTAATTTCAAGAATCATCTCTGGAGTGTACTGATGAATCTTACCATAGTGCTTGAATAAAGCATCCTTTGTCATAGCACTATAATTACAACCTTGGTTTTGACACACAAAGGGTTTATTAACTTTGTCACTGAACTGAATGTTACTTATCATTTCAGAAACTGGCTGAACAACTGTGACATTTGGGATTGGTTTAATGGGAGTGGGAGTCAGTGTCACTGATGTGTTTATTAGTACACACTGAGATGCTGGAGTGGACAGGTCATTTTCTAATTTTAATTTCTGTAAGCCTTCTAAAATTTCCTGTATTTGATCCTCCTTATGTAATACTTCAGACTGAGGAATGTTACTTTTCGTTGGCATGACACCTATGAAGGAGGAAAACTGCGAAGAATCAGATAACTTGCTATTCTGTACAGTGTTTACTGAGGGAAGCTGAATGTTATAATTTATTTGAGCACTCTGTGATGTTTCAGCAACACCCTGAGATCCACTTTTTACCTCAAGTATTTGAGAATTCATAGCACTTTTAATAATTTCAAGAGTCTTTTCAAAGTTTTGCATAACATTGTCTTCAGAAATCTGCAAATCAGAATTTATTGAAGTTGTGCATGAATTCAAAGCCATCATTTGGGAATCACCATTTTCAGTTTTTAATGTTAACGGAGCTAACACTGTATGGGACTCAAGACTAGTTTTAAAGTTTTCTTTCACATCAGTAATAAATAACTGATTGTCAACATTATTTAATTTCTGTGCTAGGTTTTCCACCAAACCCTGAGGCTCACAATTTGGAATTACATTCGAATGGAGGTTAGTAGTTGGTATCTCAATACTCTTTGCTATAAGTCCCATTGCTGTTAAGTCACTTGTTACCAAGTTCTGGGAAGCATTAGGTGCAATTAGGGGAGGGGCAACTTTCTTTCTTCTCTTTGAAGCACTGTTTCCCTTTTTATTTAAATGACTGGACCTTGTGTTCTGAGGACCACTTATAACTGAAACACGTGAACTGTTACTGGTAAAATTTTGTGATGGCCCACTAGAATTAGGGAATGAACTAGAACACAAACCATTTTCAACAGTCTTCAGTAGTAAGTCATTTGTTGGGAAAACAGGTAAACTGCTGCATTCCTCAATGGAGGATGTTTTGGAGTTTGGTGTCCTATTCTGGTTTGTCAGCAGGGAGCTTGGGTGGCATACAGTCTGCAACAGGGGTGGCACAGCTGGGTTTGGCATCACTGCTGCATTTACTTGTGCTGCATCTGAAACACAACCTGCTGGAACATGAGAAAGTATTTCAGCACCCTCAAACGTACTGGGAATGCCAGCAGTTTCCAAAGCTTGTTTAATAATTTCACTTCCTTCTTGACTAACACTGGTACTAAAGCTAGTCACACCAGTCCGGGAAAATGTATTTGGTAAAAATGTTGATGAGCGATTTTCAGCAGCAAGAAGTTGCAGGAATGACGGATCTTTAAAACATGCTTCTGGGTTGAAGGTAGACTGTTGCGGCTGCGGCAAATTTACTGCATTTGTGGAGAGAATCATGCTGGCAAGAAGAGAAGGCTGTCCATTATTCTGTAGAAGTTCTTGAGCAATTTCTGCTCCATCCAGTGGTTTACAATAAGATCGCTTAGACAAGTGCCCACCCAGAGATCTGGGATTAGTAAAAGCCCTATAACACCTGCTACAGATAAATTTCCCATCTCTGATAATTGCAGGCCATTTAGCCCTTTTGTTGTGCTTGGGTTTTCTTTCCTTCCCATTTGGGCCCCGCCCACGGTCTTTTTTAACTTTTTCAGGTGCAGACTGTTGGGCACTGGTGCTATTAAAGTCATTTGCAACATTGACTTGTGAAGGAAAAACTGCATTTTCACCATTGCCTCCCTTTAGAAAGGAGGAATTGGTGTTTCCTTCAATCTGTGAGGAAAAATGATTTGTATTATTTTCCAGTTGGGAAAAAACAGAATTAGCGCCACTATCTGCTGGTGAAGGGAAAAGAGACATTGAACTGCTTTCTGCAGGTAAAGGAAGGAAAGGATCTGAGCCACTGTCAATATTCAAAGGCAAAACTGTTTTGGTTAGATCTTCCATTTGTGCTGGCAAGGTAGGAGTAGATAAATTTTCCATTTGGGAACATATAATCCCACCACCTTGTTCATTTTTATCCTGAGAAGGTATATTTGGATTTATGACACTTTCCACTGACGGCAACAGTGGAGCTGACACACTTGCTAAATGAGCTGGAAAAATGGAAGGCGACATGTGCTGCAACTGATTTGAACAAGTAGGATTCCCGTTGGCTTTGGTCTGTGGTGTAAAAAATGCATTGTTAGAGCTGCTCACCTGTGATGGCAAAAAATAAACAAACTTGCCATTATTTGGTGTATTTAAGTTGTTTGATTTTTGACCTTTTTTACTTTTGCGCTGCATTTTAAATGCAGCATACTGGTCAGGGTGTGCTGTCTTCATGTGTTTCCCAATACTCTGTGAAGAATTATAGGTTCGAGTACATCCTTCAACCTGGCAACTGAATTTCTGACCTGGTGCTTTTGGAGGCACTGATGGAGTTCCTAAAGAACTACTTAGGTTGGGCTGTGATGGAACAAATGTGATACTTTCCAATGTCTTAAGAGGTAAATTATAAAGACTGGATGATGTTTTAACATTACCTCCACATTCAAACTTAGAAGCTGGTAAACTGTTTTGAAATCCTGCCTGGTTTTGCACAGAAAAGGTCATCAGGTTGTTCACTTGTCTTTCTAAGTTTTGTGGGGTAAGGTCACCTATTTTGAGGGTTTCTGAATTTACTAAAGAATTCTGAGTAATCTGGGCTTCATTAAAGCAATCCTGTTCTTTTCTTTCTTGAAAACCTGGACGACACAAATCATTACAAGTATCTTCAACCGGTGTGTGCAAGTTTGTGACCAATGATTCACCAGTGCCTTCCACAGTTGAGTTTTCTTGCTTTCCGAAGTTATCCTCAATCCCCTGATTGAGGGACACTTTAATGGACACAGCTACTTCACTGGCCTGAAGGAGAGGAGTAGTCACTGGGTTTTCCAAGCCATTTGTCAATGGTCCATCAGCTTGCCTGAGCTCTGATACAGAAATCTGGTCTTGTTTGGTCACAGCTGATTCTGTTTTGCTTTTATCCCAAGCATCACTTCTATCTGCTGGTAAGGTGTTTTCAATGTTATTTTCTGAAGGAAGCAGAGATCTCTCTTTTTCAATGCTCACTTCTGTGTTCTGATTCACTTTAGAAGGCTGAACACAATCTCCAGGTGAATTAAGATGGTCTTCCGGAGGCAGCACTTTTTCAGGAGTACTGTGATCATCCAGATGCTTTTCTAGTTCACTCTGAGAACGATACACTTTACCACAACCTGTGAACTTACAAGTGTAAGTATTATAATGCTGTGCTTCATGATCATATAGTAAGTAAGCTTCTGAAAAAATTCTGCCACATTTAGGAAACATACACTTTGCTCTAAAAACTTGATGTTCCTTTCGGTGTGTTAAGAGCTCTGCATAACTATTAAAACCAGCCTTACATTTCATCTGTATACAGATATATGGTTTACTGCCACAGTGCATTTGTAGGTGATCATTAAGATGAGTAACACTTACAAAATGCCGTCTACAGTACTGGCAAATAACTTTTTTGCTTTGCATTTCAAGAAAGCGCTTGGCATCTTCATTATCCTTATGCCCCTTTACATGAGCAATTAAATTTTTAAAGTACTTAAAGCCCTTTTTACAAAAAGTTACAGGGCAATTGAATTCATTAACGGGCACTGGTTTCTGGACTGGGATCACTTCTGGCTCATAAGATTTATCTTTGTCATCATTCTCATCATCTGAACCATCATTGTCATTAAATACTATGAAATCTGTTGAATACAGACTATTCTTTTTTATAGGCCGCTGCTCCTGCTTGGTCACAGCATTAGTCTTCTGATTCTCATTAGTAGTTGTGATTTTAGGTGGCCTCCCCAATCTTCTTAATGGTTTCATAGCTGCTAGTCTCTCTTTACTAGATTGTTTAACATGCAATGTGACATGAGGGACAAAAGTTTCTTTAGAATTGAAGTTCTTTGCACATATAGGACAACTGTAAATCCCATCTTTGTAATGTTTCTGAGCATGTCGTACTATTCTATGACCAAGGAATTCTTTGTCACACAGCACACAATACTGCATGTAGGCTTGCCAATTCCTAAACCTAGCAGATATAAATCCTCTCTCTCTTAATTGTTTTATCTCTCTCTTCTTCTGCTTTTCATCACAGAGGTCTTTGAGAAGGCCAGAATTAGCACCAACTCCACCAGAAAGTCCATTTACAGAAGTTTCTTTAATATCTTCCTGGTAGTCTACTACTTTCTCATAAACTTCACTGTCGTTTAGTTCATCTATTGAAGACACAATGGATGCTTCTTCCCCCATTAATGCAAGACATTGTCGTTTTAAGGTTTTCCAATCCCAGAATTCTGGATCAAAGGGCCACTGAGTTTTCAATACAAGTAAGAGCTCACAGCGTAGAGAATTTGGTATTGGAAGATTCTCTTCATCGTATTTCTGATCTGGCTGGTTATACAACATTTCCACAGCATAATATGCATCTACCGTAGGCTCAATAAGAAATTCACTCAGTTGACAAGCACGTTTAACTTCCAGATCATCAGGCAACAAGCACGAAATGGTCTTGCAAATAGATATTTTCACTTCAGTATTTTCTGTCGATTCCAAACGAAGGGCTTTTACACATAGTTCTATACAGGTGGCAAGTCCAGCCCCTTCAGTCTGTGAAAAAGCAAACAGGAAATGTTAATTTAATCTACACTTAACCAACACATACAAGTGAATTTAGTTATTTTTAAATTGAGGTTTGCTTTTCTCAAATTTTACAATAGCAACATATGAAAAACTGCCTCTTATAAAGCACTGTAGTTGAGTTGTGTGTGTGTAAAATGAACTGTAAAGAATAGCAGAAAAAGGATAAGCACTGGGAACTAAGACAACACCTGGGTATAAAATCATCTAATATAATTAGGCAAACTTGGAAGTTATTACCATCTCTAACTGTTCATAAAAGAAAGAACAACATAAACTTCCTAAAACTGATGTATTAATGACAGTTATGTTTTTTAAGTGTCTGATATAGGACAGCATAATGTCTGGCACATAGGAAGTGATCGATAAATGTCAACTCTATCACAAATCTCATTTCCTAAGTTTGTATTTATAGTCCTTCTCAAACAAAAAACCTCTTAACCCAATTACAGAACTGAGAATGTCCCTCTATTTCCTAACTTACTAGTAATGAAAGGAGATTTTCACTTTTAACAGAATAATCTGATCCTTCATGGGGGGAAGGGACTCTTAGTTCTATCATACATTGGCTGAATGCCAAATCCTCTACCTCACTGCTGAAACATCTTAAAAATGAGGAGACACAATAAATGTTTTTCCTTTTGAATTAGCATTTTTTAAGTTTGTTTATTGAGAGAGAGAGAGCACATGGGGAGGGAGGGGGAGGGGGAGGGGGAGAGAGAGAGAGAGAGAGAGAGAGAGAGAGAGAGAGAGAGAGAATCCCAAGCAGGCTCCAGGCCATCAGCGCAGAGCCTGACATGGGGCTCAAATTCACAAACCATGAGATCACATAACCTGAGCTGAAACCAAGAGTTGGATGCTGAAGTGACTGAGCCACCCAGCTGTCCCTGAATTAGCATCTTGAACTATTATTACAAGATAGCACTAATGATGGTAAAAGTCATTTGAAAATATATGTAGTGAAGAGATAAAAAGTGGGTTTTTAAAGGACTAAGAGAACATAAATATAAGAAATAAGCCAACTGTAAGATGTGGCCACATTCATGGGGAATGGAATATGTATTAGATAGGTTCAAAAGGCAAGAAAAAAACAGGTTAAAAAAAAAACCTCATAGGGTCTGTATTTTCACAGGCTAAGAAGGAAATTTTTTTTTTTTTAAACTAAAACAGAAGCTTAGATTTGTAGACCAAAAGGAAAGTGAAGGGAAGATAAATTGGCCTTGACTTTAGGAAAAGGCAAAGACCAAGAAGAAAATGGACAAGAATAGATATGAGACCTATATGAAAAAAAATTTTTAATGTTTATTTATTTTTGAGAGAGAGAGAGACAGAGCACAACCAAGGCAGGGGCAAAGAGAGGAAGACATAGAATCTGAAGCAGGCTCCAGGCTCTGAGCTCTCAGCACAGAACCCAATATGGGGATCAAACTCACAAACCACGAGATCATGACCTAAGCCGAAGTCAGATGCTCAACTGACTGAGCCACTCATGTGCCTGAGACCTATTCTTAAAAGTGACAGTAAAGAAAGAACAAGGAAAGAGGTGGGACCATATGGTTGTCTCTAGCTTTCACATCAAACCTGTATAGTTATTTTATACTATTCCAAGAAAAATCTGAGTCAGAAAACTTTTACAATAAAAAAAAACATTTGTACGTCTTGTTACATGCTTTAGGGGCTACTTCTAATAATGCACAAATATGATGATCGTGTTTATCAGACAGACTAGTAAATATGTAGAGGACGAGAATTCTGGAAAAGGCTGTAATTATTTTAAAAATTCAGGAAATGACTGAGAAAGGACTTTAAGAAAGGATTCAGGATATAGAGGTTTCATGGATGAAGGACATCTATCTACTTTGAGGAAGATGACTGTAACTATTCTCTGTCACATGAATGTTGATCTCTTTCTCTATAAATGACAAAAGTAGATTCAAAAGCTCTACCTATTGCTTAGGAAATGCAACTAAAATTATTTCAGAGAGAAACTCAACTGACATTTCTATTCTAATACAGTCTGCTACTGGATTCAAGGGTACATTTCAACTCATTAAGCACAAATAGCTTTGAATAAATTTGCTTTAAAAACATCTTAATGTTATAATTAAATGTGTAATCTTAAATCATGGCAACAAAACTACAACAAAATTTTTATTCTTATGAGTTTTCATCTTTGTGTATGTGACTGAAAATTAAGTTTATAGGTGATACTCAAATCATAAACTGGTTATACAGTAAGTGCATTTATTTTTTTATTAATTTTTAAATTTTATTTATTTTTTAAGTATGCTCCATATCCAGCATGGAGCCCAATGCAGGGCTTGAACTCCCAACCCTGAAATTAAGACCTGAGTGGAGATCAAGTGTCCAATGCCTAATTGGCTGAGCCACTCAGGTGTCCTTATAATAGTCATATTTTTTAGATTTTTAATATTTGTTTTTGAGGGAGTGAGCATGCGAGCATGGGCACAAGCATGAGCGGGGGAGGGGTAGAGAGAGAGGGAGACACAGAATCTGAAGCAGGCTCCAGGCTCCGAACCGTCAGCACAGAGCCAACTTGGAGCTCGAACTCACAAACCACGATATCATGACCTGAGCTGAAGTCAGATGTGCTTAACTGACTGAGACACCCAGGTGCCCCTATAGTAAGTGTTTTTAAAGAGGAGTTTGAATTCACAATTTTCCAGAAGTATGTAATTAAACAATTAGCCTATAATAATCTACTTAATCAATAACATTAGTTAATAAAAGTACTGATAGCGCCATCTTGAATTTAAGAGTCAAATTTGCTTGAACTTAAGTGCTAAAAATTCAGAGAGAGAAATAGAGACTCACCCACACCCCCCAGACAGTGGTCCAGCACCAGGCAACCTTCTGAAAAATACAAGGTTTTATATTTGGGTACTACCCCCCCACCTCCACTTTTCTGTTCCTCTCCACTAACTGCCTAGGATCCTTGACCCAAAGCTACCTTAGGCTTACAAACTGATTAATTTCCCCATGTACATCTTATTCAGCCTTTCTCCATCCATGCATACCATGTTTTGCCCTGCTTTAAAATTCTTGAGGGGCGCCTGGGTGGCTCAGTTGGCTAAGCATCTGACTTCGGCTCAGGTCATAATTTCACAGTTTGTGGGCTCGAGCCCCACATCAGGCTCTGTGCTGACTGCCAGCTCAGAGCCTGGAGCCTGTTTCAGATTCTGTGTCTCCCTCTCTCTCTGACCCTCCCCTGTTCACGCTGTGTCTCTCTCTCTCTCTCTCAGAAATAAATAAAACATTAAAACAATTTTTTTTAATTCTTAAACTGTTACCTTTGTATTTCAGAATTAAATATATATTCTTAATTTTTAATACATAAAAAGGCCTTCACAATCTTACCTCATCTGGTCTAGACTAATCTTTTTATCTTTTGCCCTAACCAAATAGCCTATGTTGGCAAAGTAAGGTAACGACAGATCCCTAAATACACCATTCTCTCATTTGTCTTGATACCACTTGTGATACTTTGATATAAGAAGAAATACATATTTTTTCATCCAGGGTTCCCAGCACATAGCTCCTAAAACCTTTGTAATTTCCTAAATGGTAAGAGCTATAAGGGATCCTTTTGTTCCCAGCTCCTAAAATAGCTCCAGAGCCTTAAACTGTGAAACAGGTGTTGTTATTAATAAGGCCCTTTTAACCACAAAGGAGTTTGTTAATGAGGTAATTTTTGGAAAGCCCCCAGATAACCACTGGATGGTGACTGGTAGCAGGGGAACAAACCTGTGATTATCGAGGGTTGGAACTTTTAGCTCTTGCTCCCACCCACACCTCGAAGGGAGGGAGATGCTGGGCTCTGAATCAATCACCAACACTGGGCAATAATTTCATCAATTGGGCTTATGTAATGAAGCCTCTATAAATACCCAAAAAGAACAGGGTTCAGAGACCTTCTGCACTGGTAAACATGTAAAGATCTGGGAAGGCAGCTTGCCCTTTCCCCCATAACTTGCCCTGTGCATCTCCTCTTTCATCTGGCTCTTCCTAAGTTGTATCCTTTTATAATAGGGTATATATAGGTAAACTGCCTTCCTGAATTCTGTGAGCCACTCTGGCAAACTAATGAAATCTGAGGAAGGGGGCTGTAGGAACCTCTGATTTTAGCTCGTTGGTCAGAAGCACAGGTGACAAACTGGACTTATTAGCATCTCAAAGGGTGTGTGTGGCAGTCTTGTGGGACTGGGCCCTTAATCTGTGAGATCTGTGCTACCTCCAGGTAAACAGTATCAGAATTAAGTTGTAGGATACTCAGCTGGTGTCCAGAGAATTGCTTATGTGGAGAAAATCCCCACACATTTGATAACCAGAAGTATTCAGTGAGTAGTGAGAAGAGAGAAGTTTTTTCTTTATATTACTTTACATGTTTTTCTATTACCAGGAACACTTTGCCCTCCCCTTCTGTCTGGCTATCACTCAGAGTCAAAACAGACAAGTGGGTTAGATGGCTCATCTGTTCCTGTGTCTCCATCAATAGAGTGAAAACCATAAGAATAGAGATATATTTTTCAACCTTTAAATTCCAAAGATCTAGGAAAAATCAAGAACTGGCCAGTAGTCTTCAACAACTCCTGGAATTTTGTTTTTTAAATTTATTTTTAAATTTTAATTATTTATTTTTAAATTTATTTGAGAGAGAGAGAGCACACAAGTGGTGGATAGGGGAGGGAGAGGGGAAGGGAGAGAGAGAGAGGGAGGGAGGAAGAGGGAAGAAGAGGGAGAGAAGGAGAGGGAGACAGAGAGAGAATGAATCTTAAGCAGACTCACACGACCCCAGGATCATGACCTGGGTCAAAATCAAGAGTCAGATGCTAAACCAACTGAGCTACGCAGATGCCCAACTCCCAGCATTTTTAAAGAGGGCCACTAGTGGGGCGCCTGGGTGGCTTAGTCAGTTAAGCGTCCGACTTTCGTTTAGGTCATGATCTTGCAGTTCGTGGGTTCGAGCCCCGCGTTGGGCTCTGTGCTGACTGCCAGCTCAGAGCCTGGAGCCTGTTTCAGAGTCTGTGACTCCCTCTCTCTCTCTGACCCTCCCCTGCTCACGCTGTCTCTCTCTCTCTCTCTTAGAAATAAATAAAACGTTAAAAAATATATATACTAAAAAAAATAAAGAGGGCCACTAGTTAATTCAAATCACTAACACTGAGGCTAAAATGCATTATGTGAAAAATGAGGAGACTAGAACCTAGTCACTACCGCATTAATTTTAATGTCTCTTTTGGTCCTAAAGCAATAATAATCTAGGATTCTAGTTTTAAGATAAAACCTCTGCTTGATCAGGTTTAAAAAGCAAAAACAAAGGGAAAACATTTTTATGCAATGGGAAACAAGATTTTTGAGGCAGAGTAATTAGCACGTTCCAAGTTATTCTTGTCAATAGGTGTGCTCTCCTGGCCAACTCTCTAAGCTATTTTTCATGCTTTTAACTGCTTTATACAGGTACTTTACTTCTGTATCCAAAGTCTCTCCAGAAAGCACCACTCAACAGAACTGTGATGATGGAAATGTTCATTATGCTATTCAATATGGTAGTCCCTAGCCACATGGAGCTCCTGAGCCCCTAAATTGTGGCTACTGGCTACCACAATGGACAGTGTAGCTCTTGTTCAAGTTTTTCCCCTCTCCAACACAATCTCCTTGTGATAGGGGTGTTAAGGTTGAGGGAGGAGAATCACTCTTACTTACTGTCCTTAATTAATCTAATTAAGAAATGAGAGGCCCTTGGGTAGCTCAGTCAGTTGAGCATCTGACTTGATTTCAGCTCAGGTCATGGAATCAAGCTCCACACTCAGCATGGAGCCTGCCTCTCTCTCTCTCTCTCTCAATAATGAAAATAAAATAAAATTTTCAAAAGTTTTACACAAAGTGGTTAGAATTATCAGGTGGTCAACAGAAAGTCGAGATTTATACCCAATTTGGCTTCTGATTTCAAGCTCCTCCTACTTTGCTACACTGCTCTTTAAGTGAGACATAAAGCAGTGGCACAACCTATATTTTAAAATTGTACATTAAATTTTTAAGAAACTTACTACTGTTTATTTTTTGTTTACTGCAACACTACCCCATATAGAAAATGGGAAATCAGAATGAATTAACAAGGCTGACAGGAAAAACTGGAAAGCAGAAGGATTCATTCCTGTCCTTTACTTTGAGAAATTCTCTTCTCTTGAAAAGAAGATATTTTAGGAAAAAAAATGAAGATATATGTAAGATTTACTGACCAACTATAGATTTACAAAGTTACTTTTAAAAGGGGACAGAAGAGGATCTCTCCTTTCAAAAAAAAAAAAACTACACATGAATTAAAAAATACTTCTTGTTATGCTGCATACCCATTTCTTAAGGATTCCTAAACACTGGTTGGAACCCCATTCTATGCTAAGTAGCAACTATGGAAAGTGTCTTCTGTGTATATTTAAGACGGGAACCAACTGCATTACTACAATGGTTACACTATAAGGAAATAAATTAATCTTATAAAACTTGGATTCCAATTTAAATAATAAATAGAAACACATAGGCAACCTCTGCTTATAATGTCTGTCTTCAGTTGTGTTTAATCTGTTTAATCTACTTCTTAAGTGTTTTCATTTCAGTGATTTGTGTTTTACTTCCAAAAGTTCGTTTGACTCTTTAATATCTGCTTGATCATACTCATAGTATCTTCCTTTCTCATACTTTAATTCCTTATTTTATGTCTTTAAATACATATATTTTATAGAATTTTCCATAACTGTGTTAAAACTATTAGGCAAATAATTCTATTCTTTTTGTCTATTGAAATTTATTCATGTCATGTTATTTCATATACTTTATAAATCTTGATGGTTAAATTTACTTATGTCTTGGGGCGCCTGGGTGGCTTAGTCAGTTAAGCGTCTGACTTTCACTTAGGTCATGATCTCGGGGTTTGTGGGTTTGAGCCCCGTGTCGGGCTCTGTGCTGACTGCCAGCTCAGAGCCTGGAGCCTGTTTCAGTCTGTGACTCCCTCTCTCTCTGACCCTCCCCTGCTCACGCTGTCTCTCTCTCTCCTAGAAATAAATTTAAAAAAAAAAAAAAAAATTTACTTATGTCTTCAAATATATGTCTTCAAATATATGTAATTTATAGTTTCTATCCTTGCATGTTTAATCCTGTTCTTCTCTCTGCCTGAATTCCGTCATGACAAACTGTTTCATGTTCTATAAATCTTGATCACAAACTCATCTTAAGAGGGCTTCAGCTAAGAATCCTCTACTGACGGTATGGCTCTCCAAAGTTCTGCATTTGCTTCTCACAGGTATCCCAGGTGTTACCAGGCCAGTACTCCACCATTACCTTCTTAAACATTACTTACTCGGCATGGGGATTTCTGGACTATACAGACAAGGTAAATTTGGATCCCAAATCTGCAAGAGGGTAAAGCTATTACAACTTCTTAAAGAAAACATTTTTCCTTCTCTGACCCACAGCCCAGTTGGACATGCACAAGTTTTCCTATCATTTATCTGTGTTTAAAAAAACCCAAAAAGGTAGTAGTATTTTTCTAGTCTACTTTTTTCAGTGAAATTATAGAACTTCAAGGTTAGGGAAGGGAAGGGGGACAGAGAACTCACTTCCAGCTCCCCAACATGAGAGGGCCCAAGATCTTATCACCTATCCCCATAAAGCGATCTCCTATCCCCATGTGTATATCAAAACTCAAAGCCCTTAGTTACTGCAAGTAATAACATACCCCAATCAATCCCCACCAGGCTAGAAGAGGCCCAGCATCAGCTCAAGTTTTCTGCTCCAGTTTTTAAGTTCTTCTTCATTTTAAGCCTAAGGATTTCCCCTCCCTAAATTCATGCCATCTCAGATGCTATACTCAAAAGAAATGTTTATTTCATCAAGAATTTTGGGGCATTTTGTTGAAAATTGATTTTTAGACAATGTAATCTGTCAGACTGCTAGCAAAGGAAGCTCTCTCTACATTTCTCTTACACACTTTCTAAATTTCTACAGAACCGAACTATCAAAATAGCAGAAGACTTAAGAATAAAAGTTGTAGAAGGAATAAAATACTAGTATATTACTTTTCTTCAGGTCAAGAGCAAGACCCCTGGCTCTCATTTGCATTTTTAAGTTTCTCTATAGCAAATCTCTACTATAAGACTAATAAGGAAAGCAATGTTCAAAAACTCTAAAACAAAAATCACTGGAGGAGGTGCCAAAATAATGTCTTTTATTAAAGATTATTTATATTTCTTAAATTAAGGAAAAATAGCTTGATTGTTCTTACCTCGGAATTAATAACTTTAATCAGGAAGAAAATGTGATATACCGTCTTGGTTAACAGAGAAAGTTGACGACATCTTTCTAGGTATACTTGTATAGATGGTTCTACTCTTTGCTGTAATTTACTCCAAAAGAGAGTGAGTTCCCTAGAAAAAGAATAAAAAATAAGTTGAAGCAATAATGTAATGATCATGGACTATGTCAGTACAGTCATTACATTTGAAATTAAAGCTAGTTTTAGATTCTAATTCTACATGTGAAATTTGTTTAAATTAGATATAAAATAGATCTCAATTTTTTAGAGACTACATAAAATCAGGATATGATTTATCATTTTATTGACTGATACTTTTCAATCTCAGATAGAAACACTGCCTGTCACTGGTGAAGCACCTCTCACTGAAACTAAAATTATACAAATGGTCACTCTGAGTCACATTTGAACTTTATATAAGAAGTATGAAATGTGTGTATACATAAAATGCATAATACATATATATCAATGGCATATTTTAAAAAGCATTTCATTTTTATTCTACCTTAAATTTAAAATTGATCAATTGGTCAATTAAATTTAAGATTTTAAATTTAATACTATTAAATGTTAACAACCAACAATGACACAGAACCCAAAAGAAAGGGACTTAACTAACTTCTGTCAAATTGGTAAAATAATAAAAGAAATCTTTGAAAACTGACTTTAAAATTATTTCAAATGCAATCAGAATGTATTTTTCATAGAAAATAAGCCTACTGAAATGATGAATTTTCCTCCCTTTTACCTATCATCCTATTTCTCTTCTGTCCTCCTTGGTTAATTTCCACAAAAATCTTCTTCCTTGTTTCAACTTTTTTCACCAAGTATTCTCCTCAATACAGGCCTTTCCTATTATTATTTCCTCAGTTTGCACTCCTAGGAACTCTGCCCTTTCACCACCCAATTGAATAACTTGCTCATTTACTGGATTTTAACCTATATATTGAGGACTTCAAAATCTGTCTCTCCAGTCTTGACCAATTTCACCTCTCTAGTTCTTTATAAGACTTCTCCACTTTGATCTCTTCTGAAACCTGAAACTTAATATATGAAAAAGATGATTAACATTCTTTCCAGTTCACCATCTAATTTAATGCATCATTATCACTGACCCTATCAGCCCCTGCTTTTTACTATCCTAAACACTGTTATTGTCAACATTTTTTTTTTACCCCATGCCACATGCATAAGGAAGCCTTCATAACTTCCCAGATGGACTGTTTACGGGTTTTCTAGTTGATTTTCCTGTCTCAACTCTGTCCTGCCACTTAATCCCAACTCTGCTCTCACTGTTCAGCCCCCAACCCATTCTTCTCAATTACTTGTTTTAAACAGCATTTCTTAAACATAAACTCCTATTTTGCCTTCCTTCTTAAGAGCTGATAATAGATTGCCTTTGTTGGTCATATGAAATCCAGACTTTGATGCCTTTTTTAATGAAAAGCATACTTAATTTCCTATTTATTACAACTATTTATGTTGCATAGAAAATATACTTGTCCTTAGTAGTAAATGCATGTTATTTATTCTTCCTTCAGAATCTTTCTACATGCCTTTTATATTAATCCTCTCTGTACTGCATTCATGATTTTCCCATCATAACAAAACTCACAACTGCTCAGAAACCTTTATAAACTTTATTCTTCTTTAATGCTACATTTATTTAGCTTGTCTGTTCCATATTCATTTGTATGTAATGTGTTAGTCACTTGGCAAAAATTCTTAAATGTTAGTATATTTTAAAATAAATTTGTGTTTCTATATAACCAATATAACAGTGAAGACTGATAATGCTCTTCACTAAACAGATTGTCAGCTTTTGCTAACATATTAATTTAAGACAGCTGACCTTAAGATTTTTGAATCAGCTGAAGTCAACAGCCCCATTAGTTGTAAGCTCCCCAAAAGATTATATATAACAGGCTTTGCACACTTGAAAATGTATCATATAAAGTAATGTGCACTGAAGAAGGCAGTGAAGTAAAATGATTGTCTCACAGACAGAAAATGAACTATATTTCCATACATGAATGATTAGCAGCTAATTATGTAATTGAAAGTGTGTAATATGCAGAGGGAAAAAATACACACATTCAATCATAGATTGCTTACATATCTGAAAACATTGTTATTGTGGCATTAGATAAAATAAAACTTTCTTTCATTTTCTAACATTTATTAATCATTATACAATCATTACTGGTATGGTAAGGAGTTGTGTGGTCCTTAATACAAAAAAATTTTAAAGTTATAATATGAACTACTTGACAGTTTACATAGCATGTAATGACTGAAAATAAGCTTTTTCTCTTAAGACTTTAAAGGATTAAAAATATGTTCTCAAGCTCTCTGCATTCTCACAACCTATCTTGTATTCTTGTTTAACAAAGTTTTCCTTACAAAATAAAATCAACTCACCAAGCACAGTACATATCTCCTTGTTGAAGCTGACGTGATAAAAATGCAGTACATAAGACAAGAGCATTTTTTTCATCACCCTCAGATTCTAAGTTGCAGATCATTTCTAGTGCATCTTTACAATCAACTTCTGAGATCTACAGAAAAAGGACACAGAAATAGGCCATAGCACAGTTTGTATTAGGATATATAGCAATAGACTTTAAAATCTTCACTAGATATTTATAGATCATTTTAATCAGTAAAACCTCACAAACTCATATACTATCAATTCATAGTTTGTCATTACTACGCTGCAATAAAGCAATCTTTTTTCAAGTCAGAAAACCAACTATTTTCAAGAATTTTACAAATATCTATATGTAAAAAACTAATGCTAATTTTAAGTACCCACTGCCCATTAATCAGGCCTATGATACTGAAAAAGAAAAGCTGTATATTTCCCCCTTTTCATCTGGTAATTTAAAAAGCATTAGAATCAGCAGAAAGACAGAGAAAGGTCTATTGGATATAGACTAATAAAGTGTCTTCATCTGAGGGGGAAAAAGTATAATATGAAACATTTTATACTGTAGTTATAACCACCTTTAAACTCATCTCAGCTTTCTATAAATCTCCATTATTTTTCTTTTCATATAAATTCATTTCATCTCAAAGCCTCAACAGTCATGCATACATAAGTATAACATAGATGAAGGCAACTTCTTCATTAAATTACAATCTTACTGCTTATTTTTTGAAAAGTTTAAATTTACTATCACAGTACAATGATTTACTACATAAACAGAATTTACATATATCTATACAAGCATTTGCTGTAAAACAAAGATATGTCCAACAGCACACATCACAAATTACCAATGTTCCACAAAATAAAAAAGATTAATTCCAACGTGTTACAACTGACAAATAGCAAAAAAAAAAAAAAATTGAAGACCAATACAGACCACTGGCACCCATGTACCACAGAGGTAACCATGCCACTCCTTATCGATCTTGTCTCCCCTCATCAACTTGCGAGTATGTGAGTGAGAGACAGAGAGAAAAAGAGAGAGAGAGAATAAAATATGATGTGTTTAGGACTGAACAAGTGCCTAAATAAGGATAATCTTGAGGTTGATCTTTGAGGAGAATTAAGGTTGCATGAGAATAGATTTGGAGGTTCCATTCTATACCTTAAGTTGGGCTAGAAACCACTAAAACAAGACCCAGCTCTGAGTCTATGTGTTTAACAACAATGATTTCTTAAAGGAATTATGAAGATAGTGGCAGAGTTAAGACTGAAACTGAAGTCTTGGAACTCTCCGGTACAGTGCTCTTTCCATTATTCCTCCATCTGACTCTTTCTAACAAATCTTTAAGTGAGCCCATTTAAACAAATTTAAAAAAAGGCTGAACAATTTGTAATACCAAATATCTGTATCACATTAAATACACTGTCAGACATATTTTATTATTTAATCAGAAATTTTCTACTAGGTATTATAATTAACATGTTATACACAATGAATGTGGGGTTCAAGGAAATTATGTAATTTGTCCAAGCTGCAAAAGTTAATTAAGTGGTAGAGCTACAAATCAAATTTTGTCTGACTGACATCAAATACTCCCCTTCTTTCCATTTGATCACATTATCTTTTACTGCAACTGTTATTTTTTTAAAAAAATTTTTAGTGTTTATTTATTTTTGAAACAGAAACAGAGCATGAATTAGGGAAGGGCAGAGAGAAAGAGAGGGAGACACAGAATCTGAAGCAGGCTCCAGGCTCTGAGCTGTCAGCACAGAGCCTGACACATGGCTCGAACCCACAAACTGTGAGATCATGACCTGAGCCGAAGTCGGATGCTTAACCGACTGAGCTGCCCAGACACCCTGAAACAGTGTTAACTTTAAACAATTATCCTGGTATATACACACAGACAAATGTTAGGAAGTCAACCCATGAGTTTTGTTTACTTTTTCATGTTAATAATAATAATAATAACAGCTCATATTTATTTATTAGTGCCAGCTTCTTCAGAAATAGTATTGCTAAATCTGCACAATAGCTTGCCTGGTAGATATTACTATTAACTTTTTAGAGATAAGGTTCAGAGAGGTTACTTGCTCAAAGTCACATGCTATTAATTAGTGGCAGTGAAGATTTCAACCCAGATGGAGCTTCAAAGTCTTTATTTTATCCAGAATTCTCCATGCACAAGCATGTTGAGGCCCTTTATTGCTAAATATTGATTTTCACATATTCAGGTTTAATAAAAAATCTTACATCCTGAAAGTCTGATTTGTTTTGAATCTGATCTTTCGCTGCTGTTCTTCTAGTTTTTTTTTTTTAATGTTTATTCATTTTTGAGAGAGAAAGAAAAAGAGAGAGAGAGAGAAAGACAGAGACAGAGCAGGCAGAGAGAGAGGGAGACAAAGATCTGAGACAGACTCCAGGCTCTGAGCTGTCAGCACAGAGCCCGATGTAAGGCTCAAACTCATGAACTGTGAGGTCATGATGTGAGCTGAAGTGGGACACTTAACTGACTGAGCCACCCAGGTGCCCCTGTTGTCCAGTGCTTCTAAAACCTAAGCCTGATGATTCTTGCTCTGATGATGCAAAATCTGTGTATTATATATAAGGAAACTTATTTTCCCAATGCCATTACCTTCATAAACTTACACTTAATAATTAGAAATATATATTTGTAAGTCAGATTGCCTCTATTTTAAAAAGCATTTCATTTTATCTTCTACCTTCTCTGTATTTCATATATATACAACATATCAAATGAAACATTTGCCATATTCAATAATACAGAAAACCTCACTTTTTATAGGTATGCTAAGAAAATAATTTTTACTGTCCTTCATTTCCCTGATTTGCCGCTAGAGAGTCCTCTCAAACAGGACACTTAAGAGAATGGCAGGGAAAATTAAACCATATTTAGACTAATGAATGGCTCAATTCAAACTATGAAAGTGAAATGCAAGTCAAATACAGCTATCAATGAACAAGAATTTTTTTTTTTAATCCAAGGCAGCATAAAATAGCAATTACCAGTATTTACTTAAGTAGGGACTATTTACATATTATAGATGTCTTTTCTCTATTGCTTTAAAAAACAAGCAAAAAAATTAAGTACCAGAAAATTTAGAAGTGAATAAATTTTTAAAATCAGAAGAATCTGTTAAAGGCATATTTTGCTGACCTCTTTGTAAAACAGAAAAACCATCTCAAAAACATGAAAGATGAGGGGTGGCTGGGTGGCTCAGTTGGTTAAGCATCGGACTTCAGCTCAGGTCAAGATCTCACAGTTCTTAGGTCTGAGCCTCATGTCAGGCCCTGTGCTGACAGCTCAGAGCCTGGAGCCTGCTTCAGATTCTGTGTTTCCCTCTCTCTCTGCCCCTCCCCTGCTCATGTGTGTGGAAATAAACATTAAAAATTTTAAAATAAAACACAAAAGAGGATTTTTAGGTTTTAATATGGCTCTTTATGCCAGGTATTCAAAAAATATAGAGCTCTTCTCCAGTATTTATATACATTTATCAAGTATACTTCGAAAATGTATTGGCTCTAATCACATTTTAAGAAGCCTTTTGCTTACCAACATAAAATTGCTTTCCTTCTAAAAAAGAATTTAAATGGTAAGCCTAATCATACTAAGAAAACATTAAATCAAATAGTGAGCTACCCTTTTTTTTTTAACCCTCAGGCTAGCAAAAATTTAAAAGACAAATAATCTCCAGTGTTAGGGAAGAGGAAATTTCATATACTGTTTATGGCAGTATAAATTGGCATAATCTTTTTTGGTTGGAAGTATGTCCCTATCTATTAATTTAAAAATTCCTTGACTCAAGAACTCCATTTCGTGAAATATGCCCCACCAGTGTGCCCCTGACAGAAATGAAAGGATGTACATACAAGACAATAGTTTAAATGTTCCCTAGGTCTAACTAAAGCTATTATAAATACATATATGGAATTCTGCAGCCATGACAAAGAATGAGGTTGATCTATATGTAACAACATGGAAAGATGATGTTCATAATAAACAGGGAAAAAGTAACTTGCTGTCAGGGTGCATATATATACAGGAAAAATATATAGAAAAGTATTCTATATATATTAAACATCAGAAAGGTTAGATATCAAATTTCAAACCAAATGATTACTTGGGGAAGTATTAAATTGGGAAGCGATGATTAGAGAGAAAAAGGTTTTACTTTTTAAATTCTATGTTCACTTTAATGACAAAACCAATAGAAATACAGGATCTAAATCAACACTGCTCACTTTGTTTTATACCTATATCAAGAATACAGGCCAAGCTAATAATTCCCGAGAAGCCAGACAGACACTACTCTCTCTCAGCCCCATTCTTCAGCCATCTACCAAGGCGAGCTGTTAATTCTATTACAATGAAAGGATCGTGGGGGAATAGTCAATCCCTTGCCTACTTGCTCACTTGGACAAAGGTTTCCTCTAAAGGACCACAGAATCGAGGGTAAGGTTGATTCTTTCCAATATCTATGCCCACCATACTATAAGAAATGGGTAAAAAACTCAAATGCTTCTAAGAACCAGACAGGTAAAGGTAAATAAATGTGTGTGAGAGAGAGAATACAGCCTCTGAAGGGGATGATGTCTTTGGGCAAATGTTCCAAAGTGACTACCTTCTCCTGGGACAGAAATAAAATAGATTTGGTGACAGCTAATTTTAACCCACTTCACATGGAAAAGGAAGAAAAGGTTTCTGTATGTTTGTAATAGGAACATAAAAGAGTAACCAAACAATCTCTAAGCAAAAGGGGACTTTTAGCAAGAATGTGGAGGCTTGAGGTGCCTGGGTGGCTCAGTCGGTTAAGCATCAGAATTCAGCTTGGGTCATAATCTCACAGCTTGTGCATTTGAGCTCCGCATTGGGCTTTCTGCTGTCAGCGTGGAGCCTACTTTCAATCCTCTGTCCTTCTCTCTTTGCCCCTTCCTTTCTCTCTCTCTAAAAATTAAACACTTAAAAAAAAAAAAAGAACATGGAATGCCTTAATTCTACCTGCCTAATGTAAGAAGGGGAAAAAAAATCATTTCATATAATATCAAAGATACTTGGTATTATGATACTATATTATGATACTATGATATTGCCCTCATAGGGAATTTTCTTGAGGATCTCCCAGAGCAAGCTGGGTTGCTACTACTCAACTAAACCAAAAGGAAACAGGTTCAGTACTGCAAGATCTTTTGATTATTCAACAGAGTTAGAAATACAGATTCTTCCTAGAAATTACAAATTTATACTCTTCAACTTCAAACAGGACTTCAGAGCTAACCCAATGACCCTATGGTTACAAAGTTTTCTAATAGAAGTTAGGATTCTTTAGGCCAAGGCTTATCCCTTAACCCCCATTTAACCCCACATTGCTTAGACATCACATATCATTCACTTAATAAAAATTTGCTGAAGGAAGGATGGATGGATGGACAGACTGACCTAAGGGCAAGAAGTGAATTGATAATGAAAGCTTTATTTGAGCTGAAAAAAAATCTAAGATGTGGCAGCAGTGTAATAATTTAGTTAAGAATTTTAGAAAAACTGTTCAATACATTTCAAAAGCTATCTCAAGAAACTTTACAGGTCTGCCAATTAACTGTCTGCATACCTATTCTGAACTAATAAGAAAACTTCAGTCTTCTATTTTGCTCTCATACAGAGACTAAAAAGCCAACTATCTGAGATAAAAGAGAAAGAAAAAAAAAATCTATGGATTAGCCAATGTCCAAACTGATACAATTTCTTAGGCGACCGCCCTGGGATCTATTCTGTCCAGCCTAGAAACTGCCATACATCACTCTTCCCAGTACCCTCATTAGCCTCACCATCTACAACAACCTTATTGGACCTACTCTTAGTCCAAGGCTACCATCTTCCTCTCCATTTTCTATTCTTAAAAAAAAAAAATAATAATAATCACACAATTACCTCTACAATCACAACCTCTAACCTCATATGGGCATTCAGCTTTCTGTCTGAAGGTATACTATGCAAATTCCAAAATCATTTGGACCATGATTCTACCTCAGAATTCTGTAGTATAAAACAAATACATGAATACTATGCTTTATGCCAAGCTAGAAATAAAAAAATCATGTGTTTCACAGAGAAAATAAAGTTTTACATTCAATATATAAGTAAAATTTTAGTCTATAGATAGACATTTTCTATCTGTATTTATAATTTCTTCTAGGAATACATTGTTTTTGAATACATCATGTGTATGTATAAAACAGAAAACATATTCTTAGGAGGAAGTCATATAAATCCTAATAGTTACTTAAATTAGCCAGTTAGAAAGATCTACAAGTATCCTACAAGTATCAGGTAAAACAAAGTTAAGGCCCAACTGCTGACAAATATAAATATCCTACTAAACTGTTCCGCCACCTTCATCTTTCCCATAATTTAACCAACGCAGTAAAAAGATTCAAATTATTTAAAACAGAAGCTAGGTGAAATCAGTTTACATATAATTCTGAAAGCTTCTTAGAATCACTACCCAAGAGCATACTAAAAAATTTAGATTGACAATAACAGTCCCTTGCTATCTCTCTTCTCTAAGAGAAAGAGAAGTCAAAGACATTCTAATCTAATTGAAAATTAACTTCTTCACTTTTAAAATTAATTGCTAACAAAAGAAAACATACTTACCTCTTCGATTAACTTTTCATTTGGTGATGATGTACAAAGACAAACAAGGTAAGTTTGCTTAAAACTACCCTTTGTACCAATCTCTGGATGGTCAGAACACAGCTTTGCTAGAGCAGTTGCTTGATTTAACTGATTGGTTTTGATTAGATGTTTAATTCTCATATCCAACAAGATGGGACCCTCAAAAGCTAAAAATTCATTCACTTTAAAAAACAAAAGACATGATAGATTATTAACATTTGAAAATAATTCATTTGCAATACAAATACTTATAAGGAATATATTTTTTTAAGCACAGGAACTACTACCCTTTTTTCTTTGCAATTTTCGATTACTGTCACACTATTACGAAACACTAGACCTTATAAGCAAAAGGAGTTTATACTGCTAAATTTTAAAAGGTGCTTTAAATATTTTTACCTGAGAGTACCATTTAGAATGAAATGAATTAACTTAAGATAAAAATAATTTTGCATTGAATTCTAATAGTCCATGCTATTAAAATTATACTAAATTCTTTTCCTCACAGCATTTATTATTGAATACCAGAAATTAGCATCCCTAGAAGTTTGCAGTACTGGAGCATTACACACTTACACTGGTAACCACAAAAGGATACTTGGATATGCTAGAAGGTGAGATTCAAACTAATACTGTGTTCAATACTGATGACATATTTTTTATTTTACTAAGGTGAAGTTCTATTTTGCTTTAATGGGTGTTCTAAAACAAATTAAATATCTACAGAAAAATAAAGGGGGTAGGGAGAGTCTGCTGATACTTCTGTAGGTTTGTAACTTTTAAAACATTAACTGATAAACCTCAACATTTGCTTAAACCCACTTATGCATTAATACACTTCTACTCTGTTCAAATCTCTGAATTTCCTACTGCCTGTTTGATCAACTACAAATAAGAATTTTTATTTTTTGTATTTGTGAGGGAGAGTTAACAAGTGCATATTTAAACTTTTCTCTGTTTTCTTTACAAGAATGAGAAAATCGTGTTTAAAAATTTATTTGGTGATGTATAGCCTGAGACCTTTGGAAGGCTTTTGGGAATGCAATTTCACATACTCTAAGTAAAACACACAATTTCTCTACTTATGAGCAGGCTGGGAAATATGTCTAGTAAGCAATTTGTGAGTTAAAAGATGGAAAATGAGAAATGTTCTTCCTTCTTTAAATATTCTTTGTTACCCGCTAGTAACTTTATTTTTTAGATCTAACTGCACTGTATTCTACTGTAAAGAGTCTTCTCCAAGACAGTATAATCATGGCTCCTCGGTATTAAAACCATGAGCATATAAGCTTCTTAACACAGAATCTCAAATTCCATCCTTTTCTTGAAGTCCAGAACTTTGTACCTGCCACACTCTATTCTACTCTCTGCCACGCTAAACTAAATAAAAAAGTATGAAGACTCAACATAGAGAAATAAAACTAAATGCATAACTTTATGGTGTCTCTATGTGTCTTACGTATATAGGGCATTACTCTTCTTTTTTAATATCATCTGATCCTACTGGGGACAATTATATTGCAAGTATCTTTTAACAGTTTAGTTCACTGCCAAACCAAAATCAGTAAAGACTTTAAATGAAAATTTTTTAAAAAGTTAAAATAAAGTTGTTCTGGCTATAAATAAGTCATAGACTTAAAAAACAGTTTTAGTTTCCTAGTAATTCTTTCAAAAGGAAAAATCCAGCAATACAAGTCTGGGAATTACTTAAAATACTCCCATGAAAACTCAAAATCAACAAATTCAGAGAATTATGGCAAAGAAATTAAAGGTGGCAAGTATTTAACAAAACTGATGACACTCTGAATAGAATCTCAAATAGCAACATATAAAATAAGAATGACAAATTGTACAAAATAATTTCTGTGCTAGTTCAATGTACAGGAGGATACATGTTAACACTGTAAAATGTCAAATACATAGTTACATGTGGATCTTTTTTTAAACGATAAGAAACCACTGCCACACTTACGACAAAACTGATTCCAAAGAAATACAGAATATTAGAGCAGAAGGGACTTTACAAATCATTTTGTCCAGCTCCATCACTTGGCAGATGAGTAAACTGAGGCTCACATAAGGTAAGTAACTTCTTAAGGTCATACAGCCAGTTAATGGTAGAACCAGGACCAGAAAAATGGGTCCTCTAACTTACAGCCTAATACAGTGGTGGTGGCATGAGAAAACAAAATTCACATTTGACTAGTGTGTCTCCTTTTTTTTTAAGTAGGCTCCATGCTGCACATTTTTTTTTAAGTAGGCTCAAACTGGGGACTTGAACTCAATGACCCTGAGATTAAGACCTGAGCTGAAGTAAGAGTCAGATGCTTAACCGACTGAGCCACCCGGGTGCCCCTACTGTGTCTATTTCAAATTAGAATGGCACTTTATAGCAGTAAAGAGCTGTGAAGTAGCATTAGCTTTTAAAGGAAAATAATTCTGAAGCACAGGGTTCAAATGGATCAAAAGTAGATTACATTTTAATACTCATTTCATGAAGAACCTACTAAATGCTCACTCTCCCCCATCTTTCTCCACTTCTTCCTCACTGCTTTCCTTTTACCCATTCCTCTGTATCTTTCTCTACTTCTCTCCAATCCAGACATTACAGCTGTTGTAGCATCACCACAAAGACTACCTGTTTTAGTGCTTGCCAGAGTTATGAAAAAAGTCTTATATTTATCCTTGAGTCATAGCACATCTCATTCTCTACCTTGCTTTTCCCATTCCCATCCCAGAAAAGTAAAAAATATCTTGAATTTTACTTGTGTGTAGACTTTTAATCTATTTTCTCTGTATTTATGGACTTGAACAGAAAAGCAGGTTTTACTACATTTGAGGTTACATAAAATGACAATGTAAATGAATGATATTTAGCCAGTTTAATTAAGAAAGAATGGCTTCTTCTCATAGAATGTCACATAATATTAAAAATAGTTCCTACACTGAAGGTAATTAAATATAATATATATGTTGGATTTCTGTGATAAATCATTTCACAAATATCAAATGAACATATCTTATGCACAAAAACTTAAGACTAGGTCCTGAATTTTCCTCAAAGTGGAGTCAAGGTATTTACTGGGTGTTTATCTCCATGCCCAGATTTGCACACAATTTCCTCTGTAGCATCTCTAAACTAGCTGTTTAACAAGCATCTCAAACTCTGCATAAAAAAATTCTATACTGGGATGCCTGGGTGTCTCAGTTGGTTAAGCACCTGACTCTTGATTTTGGTGCAGGTCATGATCTCACAGTTTGTGAGATGGAGGCCCGCATTGGGCTCTGCACTGTCTATGCCTGGGATTCTATTCTCTTTCTCAAAATAAACATTTAGGGAAAAAAATCTCTTATACCACAGTATATGTTACCTCAATCCACTTAGTTGTGCTCAAGCCAGGAATCTAAGAAGTTGGCCTTAAAGAATGCTCTCTCATGCTTCCTTCTCACCCAGACATCCAATCCACCACCTAATTTTGTCATTTATAATTCTTAAATACTCAATCTATTTACTCTTCTCCATCTCTACTCCTGATATTCACCCATTCCTCCCAGCCCACTCTTTAAGCTATGAGACCACTTTATAGCACTCTGTTAGTCTTCTGGATCCACTCTTAAGTCATCACATCTCCACTAGGACTTGCTTTTTCTTTTTTCTTTTTTTAAAAGCACACACTTGATTGTCTTCTCCCAGTTTAAAATTTGCCAAAGGTGCCTTTGCCTTCAGAGTAAATTCTGAAATTTTCATCATGGCCTACCTGAATCTAAATTACCTATTCCTTTTTAAAAAGTACAATTTGTATTTTGTTTTAAAAACAACTTAGCATTTAGGTAAGAGAGAGGAAAAAAAGGCATTCAAATTGGAAAGGAAGAAGTAAAATAATCTGCACATGACACGATCTTATAGAAAACCCTAAACACACACACACACACGCACGCACGCACGCACACACACCAATTAGAATAAATGACTTTAGCAAAAAGTTACAGGACACAAAAATCAAAACACAATAAATTAAATTTTTATAAACTAACAATGAATAACCTGAAAAGGAAATTAAGAAAAACAATTCCACTTTACAATATCAACAAAAAGAATATAATACTTAGAAATAAACCTAACCAAGAAGGTGAAATACCTGTCCCTAAAATCTATAAAACATGGCTGAAAGAAATTAAAGACACAAGAAAATGGAAAGATCCCTGTGTTCATAGAATGAAAGACTTAATATTGTTAAAATGTCCAGCTATCAAAACAATTTAAGAATTCAATACAATTCCTGTCAAAATTTCAATGGCATTTTTTGCAGAGAGAGAAAAATTTATCCTAAAATTCATAGGAAATCTCAAGGGATTCCAAACAGCCAACACAATTTTGAAAAAGAACCAAGTCTGAGGTTACACTTCCTCACCTCAAAATAATTTATAAAGCTACATTAATCAAAACAGTGTGGTACTGGTCTAATGACAAACATATATAGGCAATGCTGCAGAACAGAAATTTCAGAAATAAACCCTCACATGTACAGTCAAATGATCTTCAACAAGACTGCCAAAATCACTCAATGAGAAATGGACAATTTTTTCAGCAAATGGTACTGGGAGAACTAATATCCACATGCAAAAAAATGAAGTGGGACACTTACTGTATACCATATAAGAATTTAACTCAAAATGGACTGAAGATCTAAATTTAAGACCCAAAACTATAAAACTCCTAGAAGAAAACAAAGAGAGTAAGCTTGAAGACATTAGACTTGGCAAGAATTTATTGGATATGACAGCAAGGTACAGACAAAAAACCTAAATACGGACAATGGGAACTACATCAAACCTAATTTTTATGTATCAAAGGACAGAACAGTGGGGTGAAAAGGCAGCCTACATACTGAGAGAAAGAATTTGCAAATCATATACCTGCTAAGGGGTTGATATCCAGAATATATAAAGAATGCTTAAAACCTAACAATAAAATATCAAATAATCCTATTATAAAGTAGACAAATGACTTTAAAAGACATTTCTACAAAGAGGATACAAATGTCTAACACACAAGAAGATACCCAACTAATCATGAGAGAAATGCAAATCAAAACTACAATGGGACATTACCTCACATCATTAAAATAGTTACTATCATAAAACAAAAAATAAGTGCTGGTGAGGATGTGGAGAAATTGGA